TTTGAGGATCAGGGCCGTGTTCTTCTGTTCTTTTGAGGATCAGGGTGGTGTTCCTCTGTTCTTTTGAGGATCAGGGTGGTGTTCTTCTGTTCTTTTGAGGATCAGGGTGGTGTTCTTCTGTTCTTTTGAGGATCAGGGTGGTGTTCTTCTGTTCTTTTGAGGATCAGGGCCGTGTTCTTCTGTCTCTTTTATCTCATGTTTTTCTGTAATGACACAGGGACAGTTAATGTGTGACTCTACAGAATCATTAAGCTCATGTTTACAGAGCCTCACGTGACGGACGCCTCCACAGACTCTGACTCTGACTCTAAAACCTCTGGAGATTTTCACCAGGACCCAGAGGTGAAACTCCAGGTTTTGTTATTAAAAAATACAGGAGCCTTTCACACCACGAGTTCTGATCACAAACGACACAATGAGAAGAAGTTTTAAAGGTCCAGTATTACACAGCAGTGACTCTTATGAACTTTAAGACATTATAATTATAATATTACCTCCTCACCAACTTATCTGGAATAAAACAAAACACAACTCCAGGTCTTTTTGTGATGAAGAATCAACTTTATAAAACAACTTAAAGCTCAAAAGAGTCAATGTTCTTTTCTACAGGAACTTTAAGGTGACCAGCCCTGATCTGACAGGAACAGTTTCTCCTCTGTTGTGTCCTTGTGTCCTCTCATGTCTCCTTGTCTCCTCTGTCGTGTCCTCTGTTGTAGGCTCTGTCCTCCAGCTCTGTGGAGAGGCTGCCCGTCTTCAACAAGTCCGTCCTGAGGCACTACCAGGCGAGCACCGAGGCAGACGACTGGTGCCTGCCCAGCAAAGAGCCCAAGAAGCTGGGCAAGTGAGACCAAGATCCACCAGAACCCACCAGGGACCACCAGAACCCACCAAGAACCCACCAGAACCTACCAAGAACCACCAGAACCCACCAAGAACCCACCAGAACCTACCAGGGACCACCAGGGACTGACCGAGACCTGCCTCTAGACGCTCCTCTGCCTCTTTCAGCAGAGATCGTTTCTGGGGATGGGCCGATACAGATTTAATTTTAAAATTTTTAATTTGTTTTGAGCCGATACTGATGTATTTGTTCTGCTGCTGCGGCAGATAAATATCGTATCAGGAAATATCGGATCATTTTTAAAGTCCATAGTTAAGCCCAAAAATGTGCTGTAAGTTTGTGTCAAGATCACAAACTTTGGCGTTTTTAAAAATAAAACCAAAATATAAAATGATTTCTTAAATATCAGAGTCACGTACAGAGACAGAACTCCAAAAAAAATATCCTTCCAAAAAATACCACCATCAAATTTCACTATCGGCCGATACCGATTCTGGAGTCGATCTATCGCCCATCCCCAGAGCAAGAACTTTGTATAATTTTATTTTTACAGTAACAGTATTCCATGAGTTAAAGGCCTGAACCTGAGTTTAATTCATTCTTGTCCAAGTAAATTCTCCTCACACCAGGAGTTTTTGGGTAAAAGCTGCTAAATCAGAAAAAAAAAAAGTAAAAAAAAAAAAAATCTGTTCAGTTTTACAGTATTTTCTCAGGTAATAACTAATAATACGACATAATAACAGAAGCTTCTGACTGAAGGGTCACGTTTTATTCAAAAATCGTGGGAAATCAGCAGCTGGACTCTCGATTCTCAGTCTTGATGAAATTTTAAGAACCACAAAAACACAAATAAGGAAATGATTCTGTGTCAAGATGCAACTTCAGCCGTTCAGACTAAAACATGTTCTTGATTCTTGGTTTGAAATCATGTTCAGGACTTTTCAGACAGAACAGTGCTGTATTTTAGCAACACTTGGATTTGGATTTGGTGCCAAATCAAAACCGGCGACAACAGGATTTCACCAAACTTTAAAGTTGTGTGGAGGATTTTCCAAGGAAAGAGAAACTCAGACTCTTTGTCCTTTTTCAGATGTTGCTCCTGCGTGACTCGCCCCCTGACTCGCCTCCTCCCGCCTCCTCGACGACGGTCCAGTTTTCTCTTCTTTTTTTCTTTTTTGGATTCTCTAGATCAGAACTCTGCATTTGTTTCCATATTTGGCCAAAATATTTGGGTCAAAGTTTTATGCAAATGAATTCATATTTAGAGTTCGCCCAAGACACTTGAAAATGTCCCTTTAGGACCTAAACTAAAACACATTCAAATAGTTTATCATTTTATTCTGGAAACACAAACTGAAACTTGCATAAAACTTCCATAAAAGTTGTTTCTAAAGTCCAGCTCCTCTGTGTCTTTGTTGGCGTCACTAAAGATGTTCCTGTGTCTTTGACTCCTGCGGTAGATCCTTCGTCCGCTTCAGTCGCGCCATCGCTGGACGGAATCTCCCAGAATCACCTCAGTTTGGCTTCGCTCCTTTTCGTCTGCTCTTCTTCTTGGTGACCTCAAAAACTGACTTTCTCTTGCGGCGAACTGGTCGTGGATTCTCTGCGAGGAAGCTCCAGTTGGAAAAATCCGCTCAGAACCGAAGCGTTTGTCTCGTAAACGGCGTTGTTCTTCTGTAGAACTTGTGAGCGGCGAATGTAAAACCCCGTAATCCCAGCGCCGGCGACTCAAGGACGAGAGAAACGTCGAGAGTTTGATTGACAAACCTCACCACAACTTTTACTGACAATTTCAAACTAAAAAAAAATCCTCCATACAACTTTTAAACATGCAGGAATTAAAGTGACAGTGTGTAACTTTCTGGAGGTGGAAATGCAAAGTTAAAGCCATATTTTGGAACATTCTCCGTAGAGTTTTATTCTGTTCGGTGGAATATTCGAGCCAAAGGAACAAGATTTCCAAAGAAACAATCAGGACGCACGTTTTCCAGTGAATATATTTGTGTATTTTATGGCAGAAAAGTTACACACTATGACTTTAAATAAATTACTACTAAAAAAAACAATATTTACCAGTGAATTCTGGCTTATATTTTTGCCGTCCATCGTAAATGTTCTAAAATGTGCCTAAAATCTTTCTTCAGGTATCAGACAGAAAGTGAATGAACTGTAAAAGTGTTTGTGGTTTTTTTTTGTTCTTTTTTTTCCCCTTGTGCCATTTTGTGTTTTTTTTTTTTTGTTTTTTTTTTATTCTAATTTTTCGTCCTCCTCTACAACACGTCTATCTCAGCCCGTGTCCTTTAAACGCTCCGGACCTGAGTTTAACACGTTTGCAGTGGTGTAAATTTATTCCTCATTTTCCTTCTGCGTTCAGGGAATCTTCATTTATACTCAGTGTTGGGAAGTTTACTTTTAAAATGTAATCCCCTACAGATTACAGATTACACACACCAAAATGTAGTTTGTAACAGAATCCATTAAATACTTTAGGTGAGTAATGTAATCTGATTACTTTGGATTACTTGATTTGCTGTAATGTCCTGTTAAATCCTGTTTTAGACCTGGTTTAGACCTGGTTTAGATCTAGTTTAGACCTGGTTTAGTCCTGGTTTAGACCTGGTTTAGTCCTGGTTTAGACCTGGTTTAGACCTGGTTTTAGACCTGGTTTAGTCCTGGTTTAGTCCTGGTTTTAGTCCTGGTTTAGTCCGGGTTTTAGTCCTGGTTTAGACCTGGTTTTAGTCCTGGTTTAGACCTGGTTTTAGACCTGGTTTAGTCCTGGTTTTAGACCTGGTTTTAGTCCTGGTTTAGTCCTGGTTTAGACCTGGTTTAGTCCTGGTTTTAGTCCTGGTTTAGTCCTGGTTTTAGACTTGGTTTAGTCCTGGTTTAGTCTTGGTTTAGTCCTGCTTTTAGACCTGGTTTTAGTCCTAGTTTAGACCTGGTTTAGTCCTGTTTTAGTCCTGGTTTAGTCCGGGTTTTAGACTTGTTTAGACCTGGTTTAGATCTAGTTTAGACCTGGTTTAGTCCTGGTTTAGTCCGGGTTTTAGACTTGTTTAGACCTGGTTTAGTCCTGGTTTAGACCTGGTTTAGTCCTGGTTTAGTCCGGGTTTTAGACTTGTTTAGACCTGGTTTAGACCTGGTTTAGACCTGGTTTAGACCTGGTTTAGTCCTGGTTTAGTCCTGGTTTAGTCCTGGTTTAGACCTGGTTTAGTCCTGGTTTAGTCCTGGTTTAGTCCTGGTTTAACCCAAAATGTAAAAACAGTTAAATCCCTCTGTTTAATCCATTTATTTCAACAAAGTAACTGTAATCCAATTCCCACTCACTGAAACAGTAACTGTAACTGAATACAGTTACTCATCATTTGTACTCTGATTACTCCGGTACTTGTAATCTGTTACTCCCCGACACTGTTTATACTTGACACAAAATATCTGCACTGGGAAAGACAAATAGACGAGGAAAAACGGGTCCGGAGCTTTTAACGTCACAGTTTTGTACAAACGATCAGAAATCAATCCTGTTTATTTGTTTGTTACTAATGATTTTACACATGACTTTAAATTGACTTTTCAAACCCGAGCAGCTTCCTGTTACGGCGGAGAACAGGGACCACGCTTTTCGACTCTCGCTCTTCTGATATTTACTCGTGATTGTTTATGTTTTGTTCACTTTTTCAGCTAATCCGTGTGCACAGTTTGAGAGTTGCAGTTTGAAAGATAAATGTGATCGTTTGAACCCGTGAATGGGCGAAATAAAAGTCTCCCGTTGTTTTATATTCTGTTTTTTCTGTTTGTTCAGAGTGTCCGAGTTGAATGAACGAATGAATGAATAATTCCTTCACATTTACTGGACATACAAAGGAATCTGTACATCACAAACACAAGGAGACGAGACATGGAGCAAACAGGAATAAAATGAAACAGAAAACACACACCAAAGTTCTTGTGGAGGTGCAAATGCAGAAACAGCTAAATAAAAGTGAAAAAACGCAAAGGGGTCATTCCACGACAAATCTCCAAAAGTCCCGCCCGAAAAAATTCTAGGAGGTTCACAAACTTTTCAAACTAAACTTTTGCACACATCTTATATAACTTTAACACCATAGTTTTCTTGCTTTTGTACTGCAAGAAAAACTGGCTGAAACGTTAAGCAAATACAAGCCCCAGAAATCTGTGATAAACCAAAAGCTCATGTGTAAAAGTCCAGATTCTACAAGAACATCTGACAAATTTTAACTCTTGAACATTTGAAGGACTTTAAATAGTTTTTTAGACACAGAAATCTGAAAGTTTCTCCTCGGAAAACAAAACAGCTCAGGGCAGAGTTGACAAAATCATTTTAATGACAAAACTATAAGGAGTTGGGAGATAAAATTTGTGACTTTTCCTGTTGGAAAGTTTGTGAACCTCTTAGAATTTTTCCAGTCAAATCTGAGATGGTCGAGCGGGACATTCGGAGATTTGTCGTGAAATGACCCACAGCAACTCAGACGACCGATGTCCAAAAGCTTTTTTTTTTTTTTTTTTTTTTTTAATAATGTTTCAGCCAGAAAAGCCTTCGTCAAATCATTTTTCTTGCAGTACAAAAGTAAGAAAACTATGGTGTTAAAGTTAAATAAGATGTGTGCAAAAGTTTAATGCCAAACTTTGAACACTGGGGGTAAAACAAACATCTACATGAAGACAAGTGGTGGAACGTCTATCAGAAAACTTACACACTGCACCTTAAACTACTCATTTCATTACTGTTCACATTAACCTGCTCTACATGATCCTGCGGTTTTTATTTTGTCATTTTGATACACTGAGTCTGGCTCCAGATTCGCTGTAACTGCTCGCCTCATGAGCTTCATTTGACTGGATCCGGACGCTGTGGGTGACGTCACGATTCTTTTTACAGTCTGTGGCGCAGAGGCTGTTTCGTGTCTGAAATGCTGAGTGAACATTCCCAGGAGCAGTTTATAAACCCCTTATCTTATCCAGGTTTTCCACTGACGACTGCGGCGAGAGTCAAGGTCCGTGGGTCTGGACTCTCGTCTGGGTCGGACTTCAGACTCTGATACACAAACTCAGGTGGGACTCACGCCAACGGGGAATCAGTCAGAATAAACGACTCTTAAACTTACACACACACGATGTACGAGAGACTTTAATTTAAAATGTGCTTTTGGTCATTTTGGAATAAATATTTCACATTTAGTAACTTAAAATAAAGTCTGATTTTGAAAAATAAATACACGTCTGTTTCCAGTGGAGCGCCCTCTGCTGGCAGCAACGGGAATGAACAAAAATAAAATAAATAAATGCAGTTTTCCCCGTGAATGCTGCGATAACAGAGCCACGTGTTTGTGGTGAAAACAAATTATCTGGAGTTTTATCTCTGATGCAACTAAACAGGTAAAATTGAGTGGAGTATTTTTGACCAGTTTGGATTTATGGATTACTGAAACAAAATACAACTCCAGGTCTGTTTTTGACAAGGGGACGACACTACAACATGGTAAAAAGATTTTAAAAAGTCAATTTTGCATAAAAACAAAGTCACAACATCAAGACTCGAACTAAGCTTTGTCTAAAACTGAAGTAAACAAAGACTAAAGCAGCGAAAACTGCAAAAACAAACAGTTTTAAAACAAAGACTCAAATCATTTACATCAAGTGTTTTCAGTGTTTGGTAAAAGTCGACTTCATCCACTTCTCGTTGCTCCATTTTGAGGCAGAGTTGTGGTGGACGTCGTCGTTAACCTCGAAAGTGGAGACAAGATTTGTGTTTTTATCATCAAATAAATATCAGAACATTCACAAAAATGATACATATGAAAAAAAGGACATTCACAAAAATAATTCATGACTTACAAATAAAAATAACAGTATAACTTTTTTATTTCCTCCTAATTTAACTTGTTTCAGTCCTTTATTCGTGACTGAAGTTAATTTAAACTATATGAAAGCATTTAGTTAGTGTATCAAATGTTTGTTGCCATTTGTGTTGCCGTGGTTCATATTGTCAAATATGAACCACACGCTCCAACTTCAGTTGATGTGAACAAAAAAAAAAAACAGCCAATTGTATCAGGAAAGTCTCAGAAATCCACAAATAAACACAGGCGTCGTCACAAATCGGTTTGCAAATAAATGTAACTGCACTGACATTTCTGAATCATGTCATATTTTCTTTTGAGGTGAGAAATGTTTGTGAATGTTCTTACATTTGTTTGTACATCATGAATTATATTTGTGTGTTATATTTGTTTTTGGACCAAGAAATGAATGAATGACCTGATTTTTATTTGATCATAAAGACACAAACTTGTCTCCAGACTCTGGGGCCAAAGTTCCTTCAGGAGCCTGAGCTCGTCTGACGGAGACGCTGGAAATACACGAGTCACAGTGGGCGATCGTGGCAGAACTGTTGTTGGGTCCTTAGGCAAGACACTTCACCCACACCTCGTATGAAGCTGGCGTGTGTGAGTTGGCAGTAGGACGGGTGGATGGAGCAGGTTGGCAGATGTGAGTTCACACGTCTGGAAATCTCTGTAAGACTAAAGTGTTTCTAAACTCTCGTCCGCTCAGAGTCTCAGTACAGGAGCCCCTGTGGCTCCAGCAGGAGGTATCTCTGGATGGTTGGGGGCAGAGGCAGCAGCTCCACCCGTCGCTGACACATCCCCCCCAGGGCCGCCCTGACCGCACAGCGCGACAGGTGCAGCAGGCTGCGGGGCGGACAGGTGCTCACAGAGAACAGAGAGTCATAGAAGGTTCTGTGGAGCTGTGGAAGAAAACACGAGTCACTCACAGGTTCAACCGAGTCACTGTTTTCAACAGTAAAAGACCAAAGGGGAAAGTCTGTGTGAAGTCTGCATCTTCTCTCTACGTCTCAAAGTAAGTTTGTTCATAAAAGATCACACACATTTCAGAACATGTTGGTAGAAGTTTAAGATAGATACTCTGTCCCTGTGGTCTCTCTCTGTGGTCCCTGGTCTCTCCCTGGTCTGTGGTCCCTGGTCTGTACCTGGTAGGACTCGTCTGGGATGGAGGACCTCCACTTCTTGGTGGGCTTGAGTCTCTCGTAGGCGTTGGCCATGACCTCCACCACTCGGGGCAGATCGTGACACGCCTGCAGAACCTGAACACCACACACCGAGTCAAAACACCTGCAGAACCTGAACACCACACACCGAGTCAAAACACCTGCAGAACCTGAACACCACACACTGAGTTACTGAGGAACTGGAGGAAGATTTTTACTTCACACAAACTGAACTCCTGAGCCTCAAACCTCCTCAAAAACAGAACTGGAATTGTGTTAGAATAACCTTTTATCATTAGTCCGTCTACACCTCCAAAGTGTGTGTGTGTTTGTCTTGGACATGAGGACCCAAGAGCTGTGAGGACCTGAGCTCGAATCCCCACAGGCACAACCATTGCAAATGATAAAAAGGCCTTTTTTAAAACCCTCACGCTCTCCTCGATCAGCAGGAGGTTCATCAGATCAGCTCCGGAAGTTTTTAAACATAGAACCTGGAGATCTATGAAGTGTTACATCAGTAACCGAATAACAGCACAGCGGAGGGAGTGTGAGAAAAGACGATGACTCTGAAAAGATCATGCAGACTTCAGGTCAGTACTGTTCTCCAAGACGGAGGATAGAACTGACCTGAAATGTACCAAACACTGTTCACACATATTCTCTCCTGTCCATCTTTTTATCTCGGAGCATTTGTTTGGTTTGTTCTGGCTTTAAAACCAACCAAAACCAACCAAATATGTTAATACTGAAAATGTTTGGTTCTCGTCAGTTCTGTCAGTGAGTTCCTCTAACATGTCAAACACACACACACTTTAAACTTGTTCACTTTGTCATTTTAGATTTGATCTGAGTTATTCATGAAAATGTTTTCAGGTGTTTTGCTGCTCATAAGTCGCCCAAATAAGTGAAAAATCAAAAAGGAATCTGTCTGAATTGTGAGTTTTACATCCTTGGTCCCCACCGGTCGCCTCTTAAACACACACGATGACGTCATGATTTCAATATGCAAATGAATGACATCACAGGTCCCCATGAGGGTCCTGTACCTGACGGGTCCCCGGTGGTCAGTGAAATGTCAGCTCAGTCTTCCAAGGGTCAGAGTCAAGTTTTCAGGTGGTGGTTGTGTGTGTTGTTGCGCGTGTTTGTTTCGTTGTGTGTGTTGTGTTTGTGTTGTCGTGTGTGTCATGTGTGTGTTGTACCTTGTGAAACTGCGGCGGGTAGATTTGCGCGGCGTTGTGGTTGAGCAGGAGCTGGAAGCAGGCGTGGGGCGTGGCTCCGGGCCGCACAGACGACACCTTGAGCAGGTAGTGCAGGGCGGAGCAGCCGTTGACGTCCATGGCTCTGGGGTCGGCTCCGGCCTCCAGCAGCATCTGCAGAAGAACCTGGTCACAGCTCCACGCCGCTTTGTGCAGAGGCGTCTTGTGGTCGTCCTCCTGAGCGTTTGGGTCTGACACACCGACAACAGAGGTTTATTTAAAGAGACAAAAAGGTAAAAGGAACAGTTCATTTGTTCAAACTACCACTTAATGACATCACAAGGTGGAGGAGAATTTTAAGCTTTAGGGATAATATCAGCCAACTGATACAACAGTGAGGCACTAGAATCAAGTTCTCCAGTTTAGTTCACTTAGGCTCCGTTCAGTCTGCAGGTTTAACGCTCAATTCAGATTTTTTTGGTAAAATCCGATGTTTTTTCGAGGTCGTTCACATTTCCAGTTAAATGTGACTTGTATGTGACTCCAGTGTGAACATTAAACGGTCCAAAAGTGTCCCACATGTGACACTGGAGACACGACGACGTCAACCGCAGCGAGCGTCTCTGTGTTTACACAAGTTGAACAAACATGGACGCAGCATCGAGCACCTGGAGATTTTAAAGTTCCTCTCGTACCGGAGCCACAACATGAACAACTGACTTGTTTTAAGGAGGAGATTGAGAAGGAGAAGGACCAGGTTTTTGGTGGTGGTGTTTTGTGGTGAGTGGAGATGTGCTTCACTTCAGTCACATGGATCATGAACAGTTTTCTCTACTTCAGTGCAGAATAGTGACGTTTGTGTCTTGTTGATGACGTGTAGGTGGATGAATGTGACCTGACTGTTCACACTCAAGTCACATGTTAAAGATCAGATATGGATCAGTTTCAGGAGCACAGATCCAAGTGTCCTGGTCACATGTGAAAACATCAGATCTGTGTGGTTCAGACTCACATTAAAAGATCAGATACAGGAACAGAGACAAAAAATCAGATTTGGAGTCACTTCAGGTGCAGACTGAACGGAGCCATAGATCCAGTAGCACCAAACCACACTGAACTCTAGTTTTGTGAGAACTGCACATGTGCCTTCTCAGTTTGCCTCTGCTGCTGCTCGTTCCCCGTCCTCCCCTCAGTCTTTCGTGGCTCTGACCTGCTCCGTGGTCCAGCAGGAGCCTGCAGACCTGGTGGTGCTGGGGGCTGTAGCTCTGCTCTCTGGAGTCGTAGGCCCAGAACGCGGCCGTCATCAGCGGCGTCTCCTGGACTGAGTTCACAGCGTCGACCTGCGCTCCGTGTTTCAGGTACAACTCCACCAGCTCTGGAACCCCGAAGCGCGCCGCCGCGTGGAGCGGAGTCACCTCGTCGTTGTTGTTGCTGGCCACGTTCACGTCGGCTCCTGGAGGACAGAAGGTCTCAGAACAAACACAGACTCTTGGTCCTGTGAGACTGTGAGCCACAACAACAGTCACTGTTGCTAAACTAAGTTTTATGCTGCTTTAGTTTTGTGATATTAACGATTCTTTTACAGGTCAAACTGGGGTCACAGCCCCAGGAAACTTCAAAATGAAATAAACTAACACAAAATGGAGTCAATCGTTTGTGCTGTTTGGTTTGTGTGATTCTGGTTCTTAAAATATGAACAGTTTTATTTTGGGACGATGACTCAAAATTTTAAACAGCAGAAAATGATACAAATATGAATCAAAATCCAGTTCCTACAGACTGATCCAGACTTTTCCACAGACTCAGGTCGTTTCTCTTCATTAGTTTTGTTAAAGTCGCTGTCGTCAGCTGAACAGAAATGACCTCATATAATTTCCACAAAAATTATAATTTTAGAAATAAACTCACACAAATGAAATACTCAGGATAAGTCATAACAATCCCTCAGTCGTTCCGGTAGAATCCACAGAAGAAATTTAATTTGTTTCAAAGCTTATTTATTTATTTATTGGAGACAGGGACAGCGCATTAACCTGAACAGGAGAGATGTTTGTACATCAGGTTGTAGCGTCAGTGTTCATTTCCACCTGTCGTCCCTGGGCAGGTTCACTGACTGATTGTATTTAACTGACTTTGACCATCAGCTGTTCTTCCTGGAGCATGTTTTGGGTTGACTGGACAAAAGTTTATTTTGGTTGAATATGTTTTTCAGCTCATCCAAGCCGCTGCTTCACTTCTGGACTGAAGAAAAACCAAAATAAACTTGAGTCCAGTTGACAAATTGAATTTCTTCTTTTGCCACAAATGAAATACAAACGTTTGGTGTAATTTTCTGCTGTTTCACATTTTGAGGGGCTGGATGACGTCATCAACCCAAAATGAAACTGTTCAGATCTGAAGAACCAGAATCACACAAACAAAGCACAAACGACTGACTTTTGTGTCGTTTTATTTAATTTTGAAGCTTCCTGGAGCTGCTGACCCTAGTTTGACCTGTAAAAGAATCGTTAATATTTCACAAACTAAACTTTTGTAGCACAAACGATTGACAGTGTTTGTGTATCTTTGCGTTTGATCGGGGCGACTTCAGAGGCGTGTGTATCCTCTTTAACACTGTTAGAGTTGATTTGTCGAACAACTCCAGACTGAAACGACTCCCAATACAAACTGAATCTGAACCCTGTCGAGCCCAGAGTAAAGATCTGCTCTGCTCTCGTTCTCTTTCTCAGAGTCTGTGGTGATGTTTCGGGTGATGTTTCGGGTGATGTTTCGGGTGAGGGTTCGGGTGATGGTTCGGGTGAGGTTCGGGTGAGGGTTCGGGTGATGGTTCGGGTGATGGTTCGGGTGAGGGTTCGGGTGAGGTTCGGGTGAGGGTTCGGGTGAGGGTTCGGGTGAGGGTTCGGGTGATGTTTCGGGTGTGGTTCGGGTGAGGTTCGGGTGAGGGTTCGGGTGAGGGTTCGGGTGATGGTTCGGGTGAGGGTGAGGGTGAGGGTGATTTCGGGTGAGGTTCGGGTGATGTTTCGGGTGAGGGTTCGGGTGATGTTTCGGGTGAGGGTTCGGGTGAGGGTTCGGGTGATGGTTCGGGTGAGGGTTCGGGTGATGGTTCTGGTGCTGACCGTGGTGCAGGAGGTGTTGGGCGCAGGGCACAGACTGGGCGGTGATGCAGTAGTGCAGGGCGCTGTGCCCGCTCAGGGACAGGGCCTCCACCTTGGCTCCGTGCCGCAGCAGCAGGGACACACACTCCGGGTTGGACACTTCACACGCCACGTGCAGAGGAGTCTTTCCGTTGGGCATCCGGTTCAGCGCCGCCCCCTCCTGGATGAGCAGCACGGCGCACTCCAGAGAGTTGTACATGACGCACACGTGCAGAGCCATGGCCCACGACTTCTCCAGCTTGTACCCGGGCAGCCAGTACCCTGTGGGCAGAGACACAGGTTAAACTTGTGTTTCCCCGGGACAGGCTGTGTGTCTCCTGTCACAGCAGATTTATACAAAACCACGGATTTGTCCCAGTTCATACAAGAAATGTCCCAGGTGTCCCCATCAGAGTCCTGCATGTTTCCATTTTTGGAGACCCGCACACACCCGGACCCGTTAACATTCCATCTGTTACCCGCCCGTGACCCGCCTGTGCCCGTGATAAATCTGGGTCAGACCATTAGTCCGACAGTCCAATAGTCCAGGATTAAACCAGGACTAAACCTACGCCGTCTCATTAGCAAATTGAAAATATATACACGTCGCAACCACCGAGCCGATCACCAGGACTAAACCAGGACTAAACCAGGACTAAACCAGGACTAAACCAGGACTAAACCAGGACTAAACCAGGAGTGCAGGCGTCGAGTCGATCTCCTCCGCTGAAGGTTTAATGGAATAAAAACACTGAAGTCTCTCTCTGTGTGGTTCATTGTTCCAGGAAAAGTCGGGACATGTCTTTTGTTTCCAGGGCAACAGACGCCCTGGACACGCATCAAGTATTTTTCTACCATTTGTCGTTCATTTGATTCTCCTGACCCGACCGTGTGATCACTACCTGCCCGGAAAATTACAGAACGTTAAAACCCACACGTTTCAGTAACTACTGTATTTTTAACCAATTTGATCTAAACCAGGACTAAACTAAGATTAAACCAGGACTAAACCAGGACTAAACCAGGTCTAAACCAGGACTATCACAATTTTTGTCTAATCTGAGGAACATAAATTGTCTTTTGCTTTGCTAAAATACAGCTATTAATGTTTGTGAATGAACATAAAACATAAAAATACAGCATCAGAAGTCGCTCAGGTCATGACTGACACAAGAATCCACAAAGTTTCACACTCTTTTCATTATTTTATTTGTACCAAACATCCAAACCTGAATGTGCCTCAGTTTAGAATTTTGAAACTCTGGTCACTCCAGAATAAACAAACATTCAAATATCCAAGAGAAATATTCTATTTTATGTTCTAATGTCGTTTCCTCGTCGCAGACCTGGAGTTTTTCTCCCACAGAGTGAAAAGGATCTGTGTCACGTTTTAATACAAACACTTCAAGACCAAAACTCCGAGGTCACAGCAGCCGCCACAATATTCAAATGTCAATGACTAAAATAAGTTTTAAGGGCAATTTTGTTACAGAGATTTAATAATTTATTTTATTTATTGTTTGGTTCAACATTGGTTTATTCAAGTGCATTTTTTGTTCCTCGCTGTGAGTCAGACACATTAGACTCTTTTTAATGTGAACAAGTGTTTTCTTTGGTCTGTTTTCGTTTGTCTTGCAGTTCCTGTGTTAAATGTTCTTGAGAAAGTAAAGTTTATTGATCTTTGAAAGGATGTATTTGCATTTTTATTCTTTTGTCATTATATTAGTTAAAATTGGTCTCAAAATGTCAATATTATCATTTATCACAATCATTTCTTGGTCAATGAATCGTCCAGTAAAATGTGCTCTCGTTACAGGTCCATGAGTTACACCTGCAGACAGGGACAGGTGCATCTGCAGGGGCTTGACGGAGCAATAATGAGCAGAGTTCTCAAAGCAAAACCTACAACAAAATGAAATAAAAGGCAAAAAATTAGTTAATGAAAATAATATTTATTTATTGATTTATTTTTGTACATTAATAATCAAAAATAGGCATATCAAATAAAACAGAATATGAAAATACAATTTAAATAAACAAATAAATAAAATAAAAACAGGCATATCAAATAATATAGAAAATAAAATTAGTTAATAAAATATAGAAAAAATAAATTGAAAAATAATTAATAAAATAAAAATAGGCATATAAAATAGAAAATGAAATACAATTTGTTAATAAAAATAAAAAAATACATTGAAAAATAAATACAAAATAAATCAATAAATAAAATTAAAACAGGCATACCAAATAAAATAGAAAAAAAAATAAAATCTGTTAATAATAATAAATTATAAAGAGGCATATTTGTCTTGAAGTGCTCAAAACTTTGCCTTTTATAGAAAGTTAAACCTGGAGGAATAGCACCCTCTAGTGGTGAACTACATTTGACCCAGGGACTTTTGTGCAGCCAAAGGAAATGTATTTAAAAATAGCCTAATAAAAAAATCTGTCCTGATCCCAGTCCAAATCCAGACCAATAAAAACTGTAAAACATTAAATCATGCAAATATAAACTAATTAAAACACAGTCTGTCATTTTAAAGCCGTCCTGACCCAGATGACCTGTATGTCTGGCATTTCACCGGAGAACACGAGAACACTGCTGCTAGAACCTGATACAGGAGTTTTATTTGACTTAAAATGTTCAGCGTTCATGTGACCAGCAACCAGGACTTTAAAAAAACATTTCAGATAAAATAAGAACTGTAAAACATGACGCAGTAAAAAAAAATGTTTACAATGTTTATGTAGTGTCTTTATGATTATTATTTCTCTCTTGGCACAAATTTGAAATTAAAAAATGAATCAAAAACAGCTCGGTGCTTGTTTTCTATTAGCTTTGTAATTTACAACAAACTAACAGTAAAATCGTGACATAAATAAAAGGTAGTTGGCCCCTAAACACTCGACAGAAGCACGTGTGTGACCTGCCCGAGCCTTTTCACACATGTGCACGCTGCTCTAAGGTCACTTCTGAGGACTTGAAAAGTTATAATTCCCCAAAACGTCACTTAATATTTTACAGACCTGCTGCTGAGGAAGGAACGACGCCCTCTAGTGGTTAAACTGTCGACGCGCTTAAGTTTCAAAACAAATGCGACGTGCGCTTATGTCATGTGTTTATATTTGACATGTGACTGGGCTTTTCTTTAAGGTGCTTTTGTGCGTTATCATCTTAAATATAGATTAGTTTGAGTTGTGTTTACAGTCAGAACACAGTTTAATATGAATGATGTCACTCTGCACATTTATCATCTGTGTTCTAATGTTTCGTGGAGTTGTGTTTTGTTTGATTCACACACGTTTGACTCACAAACCTGCACATTTGAAGCTCAAAGTAACAGATAATATTCAAAAACTGTTCTGCACAATTGAGATCAAACACAAACTGAGAGGTCAAATGAATTATAAAAAACTATTCTCTGGACCCAGACGTGGACTCGACTTATAAAACAGTTTAGATGAACTTATCAAAACTTGGACTAACTTGGTGCACTTCAAAAAACAATATGAAAATCTAATCTTACAGAAAAACCCAGAGGACGAGATCCACTGTCTTCACTCGGACGGCGGCAAACTGAGCAGCAGGTCACGTCTCTCCCTTCACTAACCACACCTACTACTTCTCCTCTGATAGTTCTGACTTGCACTTCAGCGTCTGGAATAAAAGACTCTTTGAGATGCCAAAAGCAAAACAAACGAGAACGGATCGTGATATACCAGACGACGGCTCGGACTCGTCACGCTACAAACGTGGACAGAGGTGATAAGGCAAGTTCCTCAGCCAAACCAAACTCTGGAGATGTTCCAAACATTTCAACTGAGACATTAATAAAAAGTATCTCCACAGCAGCGGCGAAGGAAGGAGAGCGCACTCTTCTCTGCTCCCCTTTCCTGCTCCTCTCTCCTCTCCCCGCTCCTCACTTCTCCGTCTTGTCTAACCAACACTGTAGTTAGTTGTTTACAAGTCATGTGCAGCACCGGCTGTAAACAAACCTGTTTCTGGCATAAGGAGGAGGTGTTTCTGCGTAGGAGCTGTAGGGGAGGGGGGGTGGTTTCACACATGCGCAACATTTGAAAAAGGACAAACAGTCGCTGGATTTCTTGTTCCTTGGAAAATCCTCTATACAACCTTTAACTCTTGGTTTAACTCTTAAACTCTTGAACTTCAAATGAACTGTTTGAAATTAATTTGTGTCTATAGGCGAGTTTCATTGTTGACAAAAGCGTGCGTTTCATGCTGGGAATTATTTTGGTCGGTGACAAGAAACACTAATTGAACATGATGGACGGAGCCAGAAAGCACGTAAAGGGTATTGATCCGGTTATTTCTCCACTCTAACGGCAGAGGACCCAAGACCATTTGACCAGAAATTGGTCATAAACATCGACGGACGACAAATCACCCTTTTCAACCCCGACAGAGTACCTGGACCAAACCAAACTTCTGGTCAGAATCTCCAACTACCTGGACAAATATTCACTTGGGCGACATCCACAATGACTTGGTGGAAACTCCTGGGCCATTCACAGCAGAAAAGATGAAAACCTCCAAGAGTCTGGATGTGTTGTTGAACTTGTTGAGTCCACGGTTTGTTAGGATCTTCTACGTTTGCTCTGCGGATGTTTGAAAGTCGTTTAATTCACCGTTAGCGGTTCTTTTCACTCAGAATATGAAAAAGACATTTTCCTTCTTCCGTGTTTCTATTTGTGCGTCTGATAATGCAGCAGGAGTTTAACATTATCAGGGAGAAATACAGGAGGTTACACACTGTGTTTGATGCTACCGTGTTTCTGCCTCCGACCAGAATATTTCCCAGCAGCAACGCGGGCTTTTAATAACAATGACGTCAGCTCAAACTCTAGTGACGTGTGTGTAGTGAGTGTGTAGTGAGTGTGTGTGTGTGTGTAGTGAGTGTGTTGTGTGTGTAGTGAGTGTGTTGTGTGTGTAGTGAGTGTGTGTGTGTGTGTAGTGAGTGTGTGTGTGTGTGTGTGTGTGTGTGTGTGTAGTGAGTGTGTTGTGTGTGTGTAGTGAGTGTGTGTGTGTGTGTAGTGAGTGTGTTGTGTGTGTGTGTGTGTGTGTAGTGAGTGTGTGTGTGTGTGTAGTGAGTGTGTGTGTGTGTAGTGAGTGTGTGTGTGTGTGTAGTGAGTGTGTGTGTGTGTGTGAGTGTGTGTGTGTGTGTGTGTGTAGTGAGTGTGTGTGTGTGTGTGTGTGTAGTGAGTGTGTAGTGTGTGTGTGTGTGTGATGTGTAGTGAGTGTGTGTGTGTGTGTGTGTGTGTGTGTGTGTAGTGATGTGTGTGTGTGTGTGTGTGTAGTGAGTGTGTGTGTGTGTGTGTGTGTGTGTGTGTGTGTGTGTGTGTGTGTGTAGTGAGTGTGTAGTGAGTGTGTGTGTGTGTGTAGTGATGTGTGTGTGTGTTGTGTGTGTAGTGAGTGTGTTGGTTTTATGTACTTTTCTCTGTCCTGTAGATGATTTCACATGAACCTGAAGATGGAAATGAGCCACTCTGGATATAAACTTTACATATTTACATTTATAAATGTTGAATATCATGTGCTCTTCCTTTTACAAATAAATAAAAATAAGAAAATAAGAAGCTAGACGGCCTGATACGACACTGATGAAGTCGTCGCTACAACTGAGTCTCTAAATACACACCAGACCGAGTCCAAGACACGCAACTCCGAGCCCGAAGATGACGTCGCAGTGATAAAAATGTGCATGAATGAGCTCGAGAAATCAAACAAGGAGCTAAGAGACGAAGTACTGGACCTGGAGGACGACCAAGACTAAAAGAAGCTAGAGAAGGAAAAGATCTGATCATGTTTTGAAGGATTTATCCCCAAACTGCTAAATCTACCGGTCGCCTCAGTCACACTGTCACAACTGAATCAAACTTCAACGCTCCAGAGATGTTACGATGACACTGACGCCGCTCCACTGTGTTTTTAAACTCCACACACCTTCACCAGAATCATATAGAAAAAAAATAAATAAAATCTGCCCTGGAATTACCGATCTCTACTGAACTAAAGATAAAACGAGCTGTTCACTAGCGCTTCATGACATCACAAGGTGGAACAGAGCGACAGAGTTACTCAAAACAAAACAAAACTTGAGCTCTGTCAACATTAGAACTAGACGTGACCTGAAGTTCACGAGAAACACAGTGAGTGTGATTTAAAAGGACTGACCCTGTTTGTAGGAGGCCAGGACCATGCTCGGGTCGTCCACCTCCAGCACCGTGTCCAGGTCCATTCTGCCCGTGTCCAGGATCTGCTGCACCTGCCGCGCGTCGTCCGCCTGCAGCGCCTCCAGGAGACGCCGGTTCAGCTGCCGCCTCAGCTCTGCCATGGCCCCGGGGACTCCAGGGGCCCAGGGGACAGGCTCGGACCCCCGCTCAGCCCCCGCCGCCCTCCACGCCGACCCGCCGCCCTCCACGCCAACCCCCCGCCGCCGCACACACGACCAGAGGCAGGAGCGCGGCCAAGAGGGCTCCTAACATGGCCCCGGAGGAGGGCAGGAGCCGCACACATGTTTGGAGACAGAGCCGGACAGTGGAGCAGTGAAAACACACGCAGGGGTAAAAATAGATGCGGAAAAAATAGATGTTCGACCAAACTCCAAAAGGGCTCAGGGGGGAGGGGGAGAACTGCACGAGAACACGAGAGAAGAACAACAGTGAACCCTGCCAGACCTCAGAGAAATTTCTCTTAATTTTACGTTTAAAAACCCCACATTTTACCTCCTAATGAAGTGTTCTACATCAGTTTTTTCAGTACAACCTGTTATTTGTGTCATGTGGCTGTAATAAAAACTACAGGACCAGAAATACACATGAAAACCGAAAATAAAATTCACTCTTTTACACAAACATATAGAAACAACTTTTTGGACATAAAAATGTTTAATTTAGGGCCTTAGCTACAAAAGTGCGGATAAATAAACTAAAAATCTCCTTACTGTCTCAAAAACAAATAAATAAAGAAAAGAGCAATGTCCCCATGACTTGACTGGTGCAGGTCGTGGAAACAGCTGGAGTCAGGTCCAGGTCACAGAGACACGTCACTTCTGCATTTCCATGGAATTTATTACTTTTGGATTTGGACATTTGGACTCAAATAAACCTGAAAATAAAAATATCAAGAGATGCACAATTACACAGACCAACATGTGTCATTTTCCATTTATTTGAGAAAAATCTGCCCCTGTTTATACGAGACACTTGAGAGTAAAAATGACTAAATATTTTATGGGAAGTGTCTTTCGTTTAGAGTTTTTGGGGCTTAAAAACACAAAAATCTGAACCCACCTCCAGAGTGTAAAAGTTGAATATTCTCCACCGTAGTAGAGTTTCTGTCTCCACTGACCAAGACACAAAACTCTGGTCACATGTGCTCAGGTCGTGTACGAGTTTACGTCACAAACAAACAGGACACACAAACATCCCAACAAATGTGTAGAATGTGCAGAGACACTGTTAGTGACAGAGAAGATCTACAATCACCTCTGTCAGACTCTGGACGCACCAGGTCGTCTCAGTCGAGTCAGACGGATCTGGACCAGACCTGGAGAACCAGTGGATGGTGGGACGACTTTGTGGAAGGAGGAGCTGATGAAAATGTGTGGAGTGAAAACTTCTGTATGTCCAAAGACAAACACACACAATCCAATTCACACACTTTTGTGTCACCGTCTGCAGCAGATTTACTCCTGAAAACACTCGACTAAACCACCAAGAAAGAAAAAGTGAAGACGCGACGACACTTTTTGTGTTTCTGTTTAGACCCTCAGCATGTAAACGTGGACTTACTTTGTGTGTTTGAGACCACATCATTTTTGCATGTTTTGTATGAATGAATGTGTTGAGATATTCTGTAATTAATATAATAAATGTGATGAAATAAAAGTTGTTTTTTAATTTATATGTACATAGATTAACTATGTCTCCGTTCAGTCTGCAGGTTTAACGTTTGATTCCAATTTTTTGGTGAAATCCGATGTTTTTTCGAGGTCGTTCACATTTCCAGTTAAATGTGACTTGTATGTGTTACCGGCGCCAGCCCTAGGGGAAGCTGGGCGGTAGCAAGTGGCACACAGTTAAGGTTAAACTGTGTGGCCTAAAGGTGTGGTGCTGCTGTGAATGGACGGAGAGGAGACACATTAGTCTGGTCACAGCTTGTTTAATTCTGAAAATCATTCAGTTATTCATTTCTTTCTCATTTCATTTCGATTGGCTCAATCTCTCCAAAATTATATAATTGACAAAACAATAAATTACATAAGTAAATAAACAAATACTAACAGACAATAAAATAATCCATAAAATGCAAATAAATACATATAGTTTGAAATAAGTCCTAAGCAGTTCAGTAGCGATAACGTAACTGACATTAGAATGGGTAGAAATTTGAAATAGTACCAAATTAGTACCTAATGTTGGCTAAACTCTCTGAAACTTTTTTGAAAACCTTTACACAATGAACAAAAATGTGTCTGAACCAAGTCTGAGTCAACAAAACAACTCTTCAAATCGTACCTGTGAATTACGGAGAGGAGACACGTTAGTCTGGTCACAGCTTGTTTAATTCTGAAGCTACGCCTACACCGTGTTTCCCCTAGTCCCACAGTAGCGCTAACGGCATCCTCTACTGGTCGGAGTATGTACTGCACCCAAAACAAAAGGCACGCTAGGAATCATTCAACAAAATAGAGGGGGTGTCTGTTTCCATATAAAACTTAAATACAGCATTTTTTCAACCTACTACATATGTGACTCCAGTGTGAACATTAAACGGTCCAAAAGTGTCCCACATGTGACACTGGAGACACGACGACGTCAACCGCAGCGAGCGTCTCTGTGTTTACACAAGTTGAACAAACATGGACGCAGCATCGAGCACCTGGAGATTTTAAAGTTCCTCTCGTACCGGAGCCACAACATGAACAACTGACTTGTTTTAAGGAGGAGATTGAGAAGGAGAAGGAGCAGGTTTTTGGTGGTGGTGTTTTGTGGTGAGTGGAGATGTGCTTCACTTCAGTCACATGGATCATGAACAGTTTTCTCCTACTTCAGTGCAGAATAGTGACGTTTGTGTCTTGTTGATGACGTGTAGGTGGATGAATGTGACCTGACTGTTCACACTCAAGTCACATGTTAAAGATCAGATATGGATCAGTTTCAGGAGCACAGATCCAAGTGTCCTGGGTCATGTTTGAAAACATCAGATCTGTGTGGTTCAGACTCACATTAAAAGATCAGATACAGGAACATAGAGACAAAAAATCTGATTTGGGTCACTTCAGGTGCAGACTGAACGTAGACTTAGTTTCATAAAGGGGACACTGTTGAATATTTAGTTTAAAAAGGTTCACAAAAAATGGTTAATTCATTTATTACATGTTTAAAAGTCTGTATTTGTTATTTAAAACCACAAAAGGATTATTTTCCTTAGATATTTCACCCACAGATGCGCTGGTTCTCTGTATTTCAAAGTATATTGTTTTTTGAAACCCTCAGCTGATGAAGACAAAGTTATCAGTTATAAAATAGTAAAAGAAAAAAAAAACATGTTAGATAGAATGTGGCGAGTTGTAACAGAAAGATGAATGATTTGACACTGGCAACATTTTTGCAGTAAAGCCATTTTTTTAACTGAAGTTATCGCTCTGACATTTTTTTTCCATTGTAGTTGTAGCCGGATCCAGAACAAACACAGAGGGACCAGACGGAGCCCCGAGAAAACACAGACGTGTCACTGGAGCCACACGGCCGAGTCTCGTCCTGAACCTCGACACCTGCAGCCGATCATCAATCAGTGGCACCGCTGCTGTAAACACCGTCTGTTTACTGAGAACCACTAAACACTTGGACTTGTAAAGTTGTAGGTTCACACCGTCTACGTACAGTTCCTTTAAAAGAACACAGACGTCAGGACTGGGAGACACTTGCCCACACAGGAGGGAGAACAACAACAGAAACTACACCAGCCAAACAACTCACCACCAAGTGCACTTTACACATGGATGACTTGAATGCTTCATGGAAAAAGCTTTTAATCCATAAACACCAGTCTAGTTTTGAGGGGAATCAGGTTAGAGAAAGTTCAACAGAGACGGGGGGTTCTGGACACACAGAGGACTGACGATGGAAGGGAAGGTTTTAATTGTCAAAGTTGTGATTTTACTCTTGTTTTTACTCATTTGCTCCATTTGTTTCCTCCTAGATTCGTGTTTTTATCTTTGGAGAGGGACATGTTTTATTTTATCTGGGGGACAAAGTGGAAAAGTTTGAGGAGGGAGGACCTAAAGAAGCCCAAAGAAAAAGGAGTCAAAGGTGTGCCGGACCTCCCCCTCTTCCTAGGAGCAAAATACACTGCGGTACATTTTAAACTTTTGCAGGACCCATCTGGAAACCCGAAAACATCTTTTTTCTTGATGGTTTCCTTTTAAGACAAAAGAAGTTTTAGTCCATGGACTTAAGAGTCCCCGTGTCTTTTAATCTGTCCAGTTTTTACGCTTTTATCCCCACCTTTTTAGAACGTTTTAAATTGACACAGGAGGGATTGCAGGTTTTAACCAATCACAAAGCTATGATCTCTTCTGTGCAGGAGCGGGAACCCGTGAGTCCGGTGCGCGGGCTCACACTAGGGGAGCCCACCACGGTTTGGCGCAACATGAACCATCCTGCTCTCCCGAACAGACTCCGGGACCTGTCCTGGCTGGTTGCTCATGAGGTTCTCTCGGTCAGGTCCGTCATGCACTCCCGGAGGTTATCCCTGACCGCAACCTGCCCCCGGCCGGGTTGTGGCGCGCCCGAGTCGGTGAGGCATCTCCTCTGGGAGTGCAGTGCCGCCAGAGATCAGTGGGCTACAGCCGGCACCTTACAATTCCCGTACCTACCAGCAGGGGAGGTCCTTACAGCACAGCTGGTGCTGTACGGGGTGGGCCTAAGTCCGAATATATCAAAAAAGGACTTCACGAGGATCTGGCTCACCTCGCCGCCATCAAAGACGCCATGTGGACCTCCAGAAACCTGCTGGTAGGAAAGCACATGCAGATCCCCCCCGTGGCTGTGATCCGGAAGGCAGCAGCTACGGTCAGTGAGACCGTAGCTGCAGGCGGCGGGCCCTAGGACACAGTCACAAAGAAGAATCGCCTCTGTGCTCATTCGGATGAAGGTGACCGGAGCCTTATCTCGAAGGTCGAGGTCGCAGCGGCCTGGCTCTCCGGGTGCGGTCGGAGGGAAGGAGCATCGGAGAGGACCTCCTCTGAGCGGGACGGGTCACCGAGAGACCAAATGTTCGGGAGAGCAGGAGGAGTCTCCTTGATAGGGACTCACCCCGCTCCTGTAC